CTGATGTATACATGACTTATTTCACACTGATTATTAACCTAATCCTTTACACCATGTGGGCTTCTACCACTTTGTCCACAATTCAGGGTTGACCTTTAGAAGTGTCTTTACTTGATCTAAGTAGCTAGAAGCAAAATATGGAAAGAGGGAAGGAAAAAATGGTTAAAGTCCCAACATAAATTCATTTCTCAAATGTTTTTCTTAAAGTTTCCTACCAGTACGAAACATTAGTTCCTTTGTTATTCAGCTGAAACCAGTGTTTTAGTCCTGGACGGGGGATTTCACCTATTGTTTGTTTTTAACGTTTTTTTCTGGAGGCCAAACTGGACACAATGTAAATTCTCTGTGTCTAAACTTTGATCGAACACAGAAGGAGGATAATAACATTGAAAGATTTGTGTAGGTCTGTTGAAAATCCAGTGGTGATACATTTAAATACACCCGGTGTCGTGCAGTGTCCAGTCTTTTGTCCCGGGCTGCAGTGATCATCCCACTGTGAAACCGACATTTGCAAATTGATCAACCAAAGGAAACTATTTTCAAAAGCAAATCCTGCTGATATCCAGCCAGGAGCATATAAAGGCTCAGGCTTTGCCATGCTGACAGACCACATTTGATACTCAAGTATGAGGAGTTAAAAACAAGCACCATCGGGGGGCACCTCCTCGAATGGCGTCCCACAGAGAAGCCCGCAATCGAGGGGCTGGAACTGAGCCAGGGTGGGGTAAGGAGGGAGCCGAAAAGAGTTCAAAGCTGAAATAAAATGTCCAAAAAATGCTAAAAATAAACGGATGCAAATCACAGATATGTCAAGACGGAGCTGGGTATGTGCAGTGGTGAAGAAGGAACAGTGAAAGTGGAGAGCTTCCACTCAGTCGCTGCTGATAGTAAGCTTAAGAGGACGATGACCGTAATGGCTACCTGCAGTGCTTGGGAAATCAACCAGAGTGCGCCCCACGAACCCTCCATCTTTTTTTTAGAGTGACACACAATCTCCCTCTCCTACTGGGAAACAAACCAGCAACAAAATACAAAGGACAAATCTTGGAGAGATTTAGAATAAAGGCCTGTATGAAAACTACGACTGCGAGAGATTTTCGTCCTCATCGCTACCTGCGGTTTCTGCACATTAGCCACGTCTACGCTTGGTTAAAGTGAAAGCCCCATGACTTCTCTGCCCTTGCCCACGAACTGAATGCTTTTTGTCATCGTTCTCACAGTCCTTGCACATTTTTATAAACCACCTGCAGGAGTGTTTGGGTTTTAGTGCACCTGGAGCAGCGGATTAGCTACGATCAACCTCATATAAACAACATATAAGCTACGCTAATGGTAGTCTTCAAAAACTGTAAGCCAACTGTGAAAATAAATAATGCATTCCTACTGTGGTAGCGGCAAAGAAATGCAGCTCAAAGAGCATCCCACATGATGGAGACCCCCTACCTGGCAGCCTCTGCATCCTCGACCCCCGCTGGCTGTGCATTGTCGAACCATGGCGGCCCATTGACGGCATCCCCCTGGATTGCCAATTTCCTGCTGGTGGTCCTGGGTTTTTTCGCTTGTCCTTTCTCAGCATTGTGCAACTGGAATAGGTGCGTCCTCCCCTGTTCACGCTGCGGTTGTAGCGCCACGATCTGATTGGACAGCACAGAGTGAGACTTCATCAGCAGAACATCCCTGTCGTCATGACAACTTGCCAATATCCCAACAGGGGTGCGCTAGTGGGAGGTTGGGCTGGCGGCTGGGCATACTACGGCGGGTGCCGTTTTGCCTCCCGACGTGAAAGAAAGCGACAGTGATCCATTTTGCGTCGTCGTTACTCCGATGCTCGCTCTGACCGTTCTTAGACTTAGCTAATCAGCCTAGACAGCGATTCTTCAAAATGTCTGAAAACAGCTGTCTCCTCGGAGTTTCTCAACCAATGTCCTGCACCACAGGATGCCAAGGCTTAAACTGCTGGTTGCGATCACTATTCTGTCATAAGAATGGCGGGAGCAAATCCTGAGAGGCTCCTCGGAAAAAAAGATAATTGATGCTGAGCCGACCGTAGAAAAACTTTTTTGAAAGTTTTCAAAAGAACATTGTACTTCCTATCCTCAAATGGCCTTTGTCTTTGCACCAGAGCCTTTCTTTAAAGAGAATACATATTCTGAACCTCAAAGAGTATTGTACATGTTCTGCTAAGTCAGCACTTTGGTTCACAGGAAAACACGACAAAAAGTAAGAGTAAAGTAAAAGAAAGCCATTATCCTGTTGTTCTTCATGCCGTCCGTAGCACAAATAGATGAATGTTTGGCAGCTGAGGCACCCGCTGTGCCGCTAGCCTGCTAGCTCATGATTAGCAGGCGCTCGGTTCCCAGGGTTTTTTTCCAGCTGCCTCCTGCCGAGCAGGAGACGATGACCTTGGCCATTGCTGGATCTCTCCTCCCCTGCTAGGACTGAAAGGCACGCTGGGACGGAGGGTCCTAGCCTCCAAGCTCCTTTGATCGCTAATCCTCCAAACATTGTGCACCACCCGGCACCCTACCTGGCACGCTCGCTGGAGGCAGCTTGGTGCAGGGCCATTGAGAGCAGGTGATGAATGGGGCATAGCTGCTGGAAGCCAGGCTCCCTGGGTAGAAGGAGAGCTCTCTGCAGGCCGTCAGAGCTACTTAAAGGGAATCACTCTGAGCCCGTGGAAGTCCCTGCTTGGTCCTCGCTAGTTCTAATCTTCATAAATGGAGTGAATTTTTAACCAACATGAGATAAGTGTTGTTTGGTTAGAGTCTTTAGAGACGCTTTGAACAGACAGTGAACAAAGAACATCATTCGAACATCATTTCAATTTTTTTCACGATAGTTAACCCTAAAGAATCACAACATAAAAAACACTGACAAGCTGAAGGAGCTTCAACAGTAACAGTCTCCACAGAACAGTGAACAGGTCAGAGGTTCATTGGTAAGGAGTGAGAAACTGTCCCAATTAAAATGAAATACAAATGTGATGGAGCCGAGAAATAAATAAATAAATAAAAACAAACCACAAACCCTGTCATTGTAAAGTCAGCTGCATGTTAGTGAGGGACAGCTGGATGTCTGGGCTCTGAGTGGGACCGAGCTGAATTCAATGCCTCCTGTTGGAGCAGAACATAATGTGATTATTGCCCCCCCGCCAGGGCAGAGAGACTGAAGTTGTCAACACTGGCAAAGACGCCCAAACATCTCTGCAGGACAGAACTGACCACGCCACAGACTCAGCCAGAAACATCGTCAGGGGGTGGGAAGACAGAGTGTGTGTGTGTGTCTGTGTGTGTGTGTGTGTTGTTATAGCATGTCCTCTTTACAGCATCAAGGAGAACGAAGATTTGATTTTCACTATGTTATATTTTTTATATATATATATATTTTGTTATAAAGTTTTCCATCATGTCCAGCGTGTGTCTGTGTTCGCCTGTGAGTGGATCAAACATGAAATGTTCCCTCCACCTCTCTCCTCCTCAGGGGTCCGCGGCCCCCGGCTAATATCGACAGACACCCAACCCAACTATTGATCTATGAATTTGTACAAAATGATAATAATACCATGTCTTTTTAGTGGAGCACGTTTGATGTGTCTGTTAAATTATATCCACGTCTGCTTTGTGTGTGAAGGTGTGTGTGTAGCAGTATTTGTGTAGCAGTATTTGTATGACAGAGAAATAATAGAAATGATGATAATATTTTAAAACTGTGGTTGGATCAATGATCAGATGGACAGGGTTAAGTCATGAAAAAACATCAGAACATTTAGAAAATCCTTCAGTGGGAAAATCTGATAAAAACCTGACTCTAATGTAATGACGGTTCATCACTGAAGTTCACCTAGTACATGAATCCTCTGTTTCCAACATTCAGGGTTGGTTCATTTGGTTCACAAAACATTTAGGAACAGGAGAAGAACAAATGAAATGCCATCAAATATTCCAGAATATATTTTACATTAGTGTGAGGTCTGTCTGTCCTCTCTCTGCTGCCTGTGTCTGTTGATCCAATCAGTGTCATCACACTCACCTGTGTCCTGTGACACGCCCATCAGTCATCAGTCCCACTCATGTCACCTGGTGCCTGGGTAAATATGCATCTCTCCCTCACTCAGTCCTCATCACTGCATTGGTCAGTGGTCGCTGCCATGTTCTTGATTGGCTCTTCTGTGTTCCTGTCTGAACCCAGAACCCTGTAAATCTCCAGTGCTGCTCTTGGGCCCTACCTGCTTCCTGTCTCCAGCCCAAAAATGTGACAATTAGCCTGAATTAGTATCTGACACTTTTGGCCGCACATGGTACCAGACACTATTTTTGGACATCTAGTAACAAGGATATTTAAAGTTAGGCAAAGCCTGCTCCACTCTGCATTAGTTGCTGAAAGTTAGCATGGCTGGTTGGAAAAATATCTGTTAGAGTGTGTGTTAGTGTGTGAGTGGTTAGGACACACATCTGAGGCAACAGACCTGACCTGAATCTGGTGGTGAACACTGGTCACTGACCAAACTTAAAATGATCACTATAAGCCAATGACGAAGGGAGCATGGGGGACAGGAAGTAGAGTGAGAAGCAAAGAGGAAGTCATAAGAATATCAAAATAACATTTGTGAATAGTACCATGAACGTGTGTACCTGGCACAGGAGTACCAGAGGTACAGTTTTTCTTGAGTGAGTTTAACCAATCACGTGTCAGAAATTCTTCCTTTACACGAAGTTTGTGACTCAATGATGCTGATTCTTATACTTTTTAAATTCTTTGAATGGCCACTAGGAAACAAGATCACTGGAGCATTTGTGCATATTTGCCATCCCCCTCCCTCCATATTCTCTACAACAGTACCAGACCACTGTCTCTCTCTCCGTCTCTCTCTCTCTGCTCTGTCCTCCTGACAGCAAAAGTGAGGTAAAAAAAAGACTTCAAAGCGCCCCCCCCTCCCCCCCAAATAGTCCTGACTAAAACTCATTTCCTTGTGTTACATGACCGGGGCTCCAGCTCTGGCATGTCTCAGCCTCCTGCTCTGCGCTGCCTCAGAACCAGCGGTGTTGACGGGATGCTGTTTTGACGGAGCGATTCTGGACAATTGGACACAGACTTAAAAGGAGCCAGATGGACAGGGAATGTACGGGGGTCTATCTGTGGGTCATGTTGGGCTGAGAAGAGATGAGGAAATGGCAGCTCATTTATGAAGGATGCTATTAGCAGTGAAGGACCACAGACGACCGCAGGCTGGAACTGTATTCAGATGAAGGGGAGAAGGTTGGAAGGAGCCTCTGAATTCAGCTGGAGAACTGTTGTCTCTGAAGAGTCTTGCTGATACAAAGACACCGGATAAAGAGTGACCACTACCACATTTAGATCCTCACTTTTTATGCCCTTCCAGTGGCAATCAGAAAAGCTGAGCTTCCTCTGAAACTGAAAATTTAAACTGACACTAGGGCAAGGAGATGCCCCTAGTGGCAGAGAGGCAGAAGATTCATTTTAATCCGATTAAAATAAATCAGATAGATCTGAAAAAACGTTCCTAACTGTGACACAACTTTTTATTTCTGAAACAATCAGACCAATATCAGGTAGAGGTCAGTGTTCCTCACCTGTTTTCGGTGAAAATGTCTCTCCATAGAGTCGATGTATTTCAGTCATTACTGTTCATCTGGACAGGGTCTGGTAGAACGTGTAGAGAGTTTCGTTCTCAACTTCAGTCTTTGTCCTCAATGATATTAATCAGTCTACAGTCAGACTGTCCTGATCTCACTCTGACACAAGCTGGGCCACTGACCAGAGGTTGAAACACCCACAAACATGTTACTACTGGATCTTTAAGCCTGAGACGCCAAAAGAAGAATATGAAGAAGCAGGTCTTGTTGTTCTAAATATGTTAAAAAATTCCAAAATATATTTAGATTTCACTATTGTCTTTAATGTTGTTTTAATGTCTTGTTTGTTGTCAGAGGGTTTAAAACACACACAGCCACTGATGTCATTGATTTTCCACACAGTCATCATGAGAGAGTTCAACCGACCGTCACCTGGGAACAACGTCCTCACGTGTTTGACAGCTACAATCCCAGCACTGAACCTGTAATTATTTACAAAAGCCTTTTTAATGTCTTGACACTTGTCCTGAAAGACAGATTCCTGTTCGACGTGTCACTCTCTCTCACACACACACACACACACACATCGTCAAATGTAGGTCACGGCTTTCTGCCAGGCGTGTGGTAACATTGCACATTCACACTGGGAGGTTGTGTGAAAACAGTGACTGCTCTTCTGTTCCACAGGGTTCATGGCATGGACAGGAATGAGTGGAATCACCTTGGAACTTATTCATGGCAGTGCTGTTGATCAACAACTCTGGATGCTGTGTGTATTATAAAACCTTCTCTCTTTGACTGTTAGTTTTGAAGGTTTTGTCTTTCTGTGTGTGTGTGTGTCATCGTTAAGTCTTGACCCAGATCTGGTTAAAGCTCATGTGGACTGGGCCCACGTTTGAATCTTGAACCTGACGCACCTTGGGACCATGGAATTATAAACTGGCTGCAGATCAAAAACATCGCTGTGAACCAGGTTATTCTCCAGTATAAAGTCTTTATAACTAATCTTTTCATGACTAGCGCCTGTAGCAGTCACATGTACTGGCTCTGCTCCGAGGGTTGGTACAGTTTCACCGTTCGGTTGTTTGTTTTCAGAGCGACATGGTGGAAGATAAGGCCAGGCACAGTCGCCCTACAACAAAAAGATCACTGGTTCGATTCCTGATCTTCCTGTGTTTAATAGTTCGCTCTAAACCGACCACAGGTGTGAATGTGAGCATGAATGGTTGTCTCTCCATGTGGCCCTGTGATGGAGCACTGTTCGGTGTGAATCCATGGCGACCTAACCGTTCATTCTGATTGGTTTATCTGAAGAGAGGAAAACTGCATCCCGTGTATACGTCCTCACGTCTAGCTGCATATTAGCATTGAGATAATGGTACTGATAAGGTTTTAATGAGAAGGTTTATCCTTCAAAAGAAACTATTTACATGTGTGGTATAGAGTCATCTGCATGATATATTTCAACCACAGAGCGAAATAGGCTCAGATTACAAATCCAGATTAGCTGATACTAATATGAGATCAGGTCCAGATGGAAATGTGGTCCGTTTGATGAAAGTCAGTGTGAATCCAGCAGATAATAGAGGATAAAAGTCTTCAATCTGCTCAGAAAATGAATATTGTCACATTAGCATTAGCATCCCACCTTCACCTCTATCTGCTGCAATTACACAGAGCATGATCTCTCGCTATATGTGCTGTCTGTATATATATTAATATATATGCCTGGGGTAGATGGATCTGCTGCTCTATTAAATATATATGGTAATATCTGCATGTGTGTGATGAATAAATAAATGTGTGGAAACGGCTGTAAATTACAGGCTGCAGCCAGGCAGAAGAGAGCATTTCTACATCACTCTGCACTAAATATAGATTTTATGAAAGTATTGACTTTTTTCCCTCCCCTTTTGCTTGAGGATACATTGATTTTTCCCTTTGATTGTGTTTTTCCACAGACACAGGAAAAGGAAAGAGGCAGCCTCGTACTCATGCACAGACTTTTCCACAAACAAAAGAGAAAAGGATCCCAAAACAGACGCGTTTGAGGACGGAGCAGCCAAGGACACGGTGTAAGAAGCTGTGACACGGGCCTTCCGCCCTCCTGCTCAGCTGCAGGGAGGAGAGGGAGGAGGGGAAGAACGGGAGTTTTTTTTTTTTTTTAAATCTTTTGAACATTGCTATTCGCTTCCTGCTTCTACAAAGGCCATGAAAGAGAATGGGTAATTCATTAATGTGTGTGCGTGTGACTGTGCAGCTCCGACTGACCTACTTCCACCGCCCTCACACCAGGCTGCTACTTCAGACTCACCTGTGTGACTGCACACAGACACAAGGAAACAGTTGCATAAGCTGCTTCTTTTTCTATTGATGTCAGAAACGCTCATTAAAGTCAGTGGAGTATATGCAAAACAGCAGCCCAATAAAACACCGGAGTTATGTTGCTGTGACGAGGGTGAGGCACTTTCTGAAAAATTGCTGAGTCGACACGCAGACGCCAACAATGACATTGTTAAAATACCGACTGTTCATTGGTGTAACACAATACTTTTAATCTGATTAATGAATAATCATGATTAATCGTGAAAAACAATGTTTTTATTTAAAAACAACAGAAAGACAAATGTTGGCAGGTAGATGTCAGTGTTTCAACCTGTTTTTTATATGTTGTTCCAAATGATTGAAATTGTCAGTCACGTACTTGTGGTTCAGATGTGATTAGATACACATTTTGTTAGCATGTTGCTTGAGCTCGCATGGATTAAATACATATGTAATCACATCTTCAGTTCACCAGTTGTCTTCCAGAATCTAAAACTCAAATACTGCTAATGCTGTGTATCCACTGAAACTGCAGTGATACATACAGTGAAGTCGAGTCACTGAAGCCTGTGTTAGACTCATTCTCCATACAGGTGTTGGACAGCAGGACAACCAATCCGTAGTCAGTGTTGACCCTCGGCAGCTCCAGTCCAAAAAATACACTTTCACAATTTCAATAATTAATAGGTGTGAAAAGTAAATGTGTCCTTGTGGTAAACTGGTCCCTATTTAAATCATGTTTGGAGGACGCAAATCACGCAAACATACACCCCCCGCCCCCGCAAACATACACCACCACCACCACCCCCCCTCCCTCTTCTCCCACACACACACCCCCACAGCTTCTCACCTTGAGAAGAGGAAATAGGAAGCTTCTGTCAAAGCTTTGATGTGAGACTACAGACTGAGGGAAGTTCAAAGGCCACCTCAGAGAAGACAGAAACACAGGGAGTGGGAATGAGACACAGAGACTGAGGGACATGGGAAGACTCTCACCAGGCTTCTCCTCCTGGGAGACGCTTCATAATGAGGACAGCAGCTAATGAGGTCCAGAGACGTCTCTTCAGAACCTGAGTGAAAATGCAGGACCATGTGAGGGGGACGCTGTCTCACCAGCAGGCTCCTGGTTTCTTCACCATGTTGCTCAAAACAGGATGTGTTTTTTCCCCGTAATAATCATGCTTGATGAGATGTTTGCAATTTCAGTTGGCTTTACAAAAAACAACCCCTCCATGGAGCAGATGGAAGATATTTCGGAAGATTTAGGGACGGAAATTTCACTCTTTTTTTTCTGGGGGGGTTGTTGTTTTTTTGTTTTTTTGGAGAAGTCATGGCAGTCAAAGGATTGAAGATGTGCGTACATGATCAGGGAGGTTCAAGATGTCGTTTGGAATTTGCTTCTTTACACAGTTTAAAGATGTTGCCCCAGGAGTGCTGCAGTATATCAGCAGCTCTGGTGGAAGTTTCCCAAACTGTTTATGATTAACGTAATGACTGAGATTAAGCTCTGAATGACTTTCAGTTTCGGGGGCCACAGGGGATGGAACAGTTATTTGAGGAAAAGACTTGTTTTTATCAGGCCCCACTAAAGGCACCAGGGTTAGAAAAGGTGTGTGTGTGGGGGTGGGGGGTGAGGAGAAACATTCCATCATGAAGCTCTCATTAGGGCCGAGAGGTGAAGATTCAGGTTCAGATTCATGGCCGTTCCCAACCTCAGCCTAAATGGTGCATCTGAAAAGAGCTGGTGATGGAAACAGCATGGAGCAGGAAATTGAAGGCAGCTGCAGCTACATGTGGAGTGTTTCAGTGTCAGAGGTGCTGATTCTCTGGAAATGAAAATAAAAACACAAACAACCCAGCTCCAGATCTTCTCTAAATACAAAGTCCACATACAACAGACAAACAGACGGACGGACGGACAGTTTTTTTTTTCTCAATGAAGTTTGCATTTTCTTTCTGTCTGTGCTGTCAGAGTGACTGATGGGTTCGAGTCACGTCAGAGATCAGCTCTGGTTGCCTTTTTTGTTTGCTAATGAACAGGTCGACAGACAGGGCGCTCCGTGATGTTTGTTGGTTTGTACTGAACATTAATGTTGTGTTGTATTTAGTTTGGAGTTCACAGAATGGCGACATGCTCAGTGTCTGTGTCAACATTTACTGGAAGAACAGAAGGTTTCATCAGAGCCCAGGGTTTTCTGTAGAAGTGGGAGAAGGAATAACAGTCAGTGACGCTTCCCTATGATCAGAGGAACAGCCTGAGTCTGAGTCAACGTCCAAGGAAATGAAGATATCAAAGGCCATGTTTGTGTGACCAGGTCATACAGACGATCAAAGGCAGCTCCAACAACACAACGCAACAATCTAATGTTTGAGTATTTTAGGTTTTTATAAAGAAACTAAAAAGTATTCAGGTATTAAATCAGTTCTTGTGATCAGTGGATAATCTTCACTCCAGTTAAAACAAGCCTTTTATGAAACACCCGGTGGTTTGTTAGAGAATGACAACCTTCATTAGGAGTGGGTGGAGGAAGTGAATGGATGAAGTGATGTTTGGTGTCAGTCTGCAGCAGCAGGAAGTTATTTATTCACTTTCAGCATTGATTTGCCTCCAGTCCATGAAAGGACACGAGTCGTCAGGTGTGCAGAGGTCACGGTGTTACAACTGACCTTCCTGTGTCTGAGAGTACGCTCACAAGTCCTCCCTCAGCCACCTGCTGCTGCTCGTCAACACACACACACACACACACACACACACACCTGCTCAGTGTGGTTTCACTGCAGCTCTTACCTGCTGAGACGACAGCTGTCTGCAGCAGCAGTGAAATCACTTTACTTCCCATCGACACTGCAGCTCTCTGACTGAAGCTAACATCCAAACAAACGTGTCTGCGCTGAATTATTGAAGCCTTTAACCCTGCAGTTAGTCTCTGACTTCTGAACAGAGAGGGTGTTGAGTCTAAAACACACCATCTGTTCAACCCTTAGCAGCCCAGCTAACAGCTAACCTTACAGTTACACATGGCTTTAAGGTCAGATGTGGTGAGTAAAGCTCTACTGTCACAGTGTGTTTACTGTGGTGAGTAAAGCTCTACTGTCACAGTACATACTGTATTATAGTACTACAGTATATAAGTATATGCTGTGTGAAAGTTCAGAAGTTGTGCAGTACTTTTCTGTATCTGTGAGGTAGACCGACCTAGACCAACATCATAAACTGATGGTTGAAGACGATGGTTACGCTCCGTTCTTCAGGAAATGGAGCAGTACCGCTGGGAATTGTAGGGGCAGTGTTTCGCAGTATAGCGAACGTGACCAGAAAGAACCAGAGAGGAAGAGGTCAATGGCAGAAGAACAACAGAAATGGATAAAGAGTTCAGAGGTCAAATGAAGACCTTCAAGTGAAATAAAACCAACACCTCAAGGATGAGTCCTCACAGAGTCAACAAAGAAAGATAAAGTTCAGAAAAAAACCAACAACCTCGACGATGAGTCCTCACAGAGTCAACAAAGAACATTTGGAAAAAGAAACAGGACAGGAATGTGTCATGAGTCCGAAGACGGCGACGGAGACGTGGACATCTGGCCCCTGGTGAATGTGTTATATTGTAACCATGGCAACATGGAAACACACGTGAGTACTTCACCGGTAAGTTTCATATATGAGGATGAAGCAGAGTTTAGTCTGAAATCATCAAATCCTCTTCACAGCTCCGTCAGTCGGCGTTCATAGAGAGTGTAATCGGTGTCGATTTGAACCCGCGGTTCTAACCTTCACCACTGGAAGACTTACATGTAGGTCTCATACAAAGTGATGGAGCGCCAGACGGTGATGAACCCATTCACCTCAGTCACACATGACAATGAAATGGAGTCCATATGACAGGATGTTCCAACACATTAAATCATTTTGTTTCCTCTGCAGCAACAAACAGAGTGTAAATAAACAGCAGACTGAACCAAATCAAACTGCACTGATGTGGCGTTTGGTTCAGTTTGATGTACGCTTTCCAAAAATATGCACCAACATCCGTGGAACAGGGAGCTGCTTGTCATGTTTCAGACTTGACGTGGCTTCACCTCGGCGTTGCTTTAGCTTTGACACCTGGGTTTTCTGTTGTCGCAGGTACAGCATGGTGTAGCGAGGAGTGATTTCACACCGGTGACACCTGTCAAACTCTGGCGCTCCACAGCAGAGAGCTCGGTGTTTCAGCAGCCGAGGATGTGATGTGGTTCACGATCACCGACGCCCCGAAATGTTCCCGTCAAAAACTCTTCTGGATTCACACCACAGTTTCTCTGCATCTGTCTGTCTGCGTCCCACAGTCTGAGTGACACTAAAGGATTAGAACGTGAAAAAAAAAAAAAAAAATCCAGATAAATTTAGCAGTTACACATAAAAGCTGTGGATTCTCAAAAGTACGCAGAAGAATCTCTCACTCTTTAAACATCCTGCAGTATCTGAAGTATAGAGTTGAATATTAATCTTAATAAACTGAACATTAATCTAGTTTCCTTCACAGTAATTTATACTACGTTTGTACCATTTTCCTTCCATTTGTACTTCTTTTATTCCAGCTGTTTGGCTCTCCTAGAAGAAGGAGAAGAGTGGTTAAAGCGTGTTTGTGTCATAAATCACACATTAACAAAGTGACTCACTCTGTGACTCTGATGTTTGTATCTTTTATTGGAATTTTTTTTTTTTTTTTAAACTCCACCAAATGTTACGAAAGACACGACCTCAAAAAACCCAAATTGAAGGCAGTGGTTTTGTCAAAGGGGATTAACAGGACTTCAGAGGAACATGAATTTCAGTTGTGGTTCTTGTCACTTGGTTTGTCATTTGTTGACAGTCATTCATCATCCTTATTATTATATGATTATTGACTCATCTGTGCTCTCAGGGCAGGGCACCAGCTCCTCACTGTCTGTACACGACACAAGCAGTGAGTACAAGACTGGGAGAC